TGACTGCCAGCCAATTAACTACAGGTTTGAAACCTCATCAAAAAGGTTTTTATAAATAAATCTTCTAGCTGACCAGCTTAAAATTGGTACCCAGGAATGTTCTCGGAAGTTATAAGTAATGAGGCCATGAATAAATAACTACATCACGTAGCCAGTGAGTGTTTGACTTGGTCTATCAAGTAAGTATAGCTCTATTAGCATCACATAAGTTTTTTTTTTGTAAAAGTAAAGATCCTGTTTCACCGGCCTTAAGGTGCATCAGGTATATGGGAAGAGCACCCATATTTTTTAAACGAACCAATTAGCACTAGGTGGCGTAATGTTATCATCAGTACGCAGGCCATCTTTACTTCCCTAGAGGACAACCAGCCTGTAGACCCATTTTGGGCTGGTGGTACCTGCGAACAACTTTATACCATGATAAAAATCCATGCAGCCAGCAGTGGGTTTCGATCACGGTACGTTGGAGTCGGACTCGCAATGCCTAAGCCATTGACGCAGCATTAGCACCATATGCTTAATGCATATCAAAGTTTGGAAATGAATTCATTTTTTTTTAAACTACTCACTTACTACCTTTAAGCTCTGCATTAGTAATTACATTCCTTCTATCCTGTGCAGGAAACAGTTAATGAATGTGAGGAGTGTGCACAATAAAAATCATTTCCTATTTTAATTTATGTTTTGCAGATATGATGTGGTGAAACAGGGAAGATGCATCACTTGTTTGTCAGGAGTTAGGATATAGCACAAAATTAGAAAATCAACATATACAAAGGCGACAGCTGTGTTACAGTGGTTTATAAGCCAGTTTTCTTGGAAGTTCAGATCTTCAAGAATATAAGTACTTTTTTCATTACTTTCAAGTATTCAAAGAAGTGTTAAGTAATATCCTAAGTTCATAAGCCTGAATTTTCTTCTTATGTGTTTGTGATTAAACCAAAGTATTTGTTAAAAAATCAAAACTCAATAGTATGATCCTTTTCCTCTTTTTTTTTAGTATGGTTTAGGTTTCGAATGCTCAGATTAGACCATCGGGTGGGTTGCCTCTATGAACTGGCATGTCAGTAGCAGGTCCTTCATGGTTCCTCATAGTTTGCTCTGCACACTTTGCTCTTAAGGCCAGGTGTCTTTTCGAAGCTGTGTGTAGAGTGGGCAGGTCTGCAGAATGGGCTCAGGTGTTTCTGGTCCAGTTTGACAGGCACACTGTGGGGACTGTACAATCTTTATTTTATGCTTGTGGTAGTTCAGCCTGCAGTATCCTGTTCGTAGACGGAAAACTGTTGTATGTTGCTTTCTGTTAAGTTTGCTGATGGGGTCTCATGGATGTTTACTGTTTGTTCTCTTCACAATTCCTTGTATTTTCCCTTGTTAAGAGAATGATCCAAATACTGAAGGAAATTAAAATTTATAGAGAAAATAGAATAATAATCTTAAAAAATTACTGGAAACAAGTTGCAGCAACAAGATACCAAACAAAATTGGCAATTATGAATAATTAAATCATCCATGATTTAAATCTGTAAGCTGTCACAGGAAAGAACATGTTGGTTTTTTTTTTTAATATCCACCCCCAGATAACATCACAGGACAGACCAATATTTTAGAGGGTAGTAAAACTGGGTTTCCCAGCTTTCTGATGCTTTTAACGACCTCAAAACATCTAGAACTGGCCCTAACCCCAACCCACCTACATCCCATGAGAGAGTGTAGCCTAGGTCCCATGACTGCATGCAGCCTACCAACCCCTGAAATATAAGACTGTCCTGTGATCTATAGATTTCCCCTGTTTGGGGTAGGATATTAATAAAGCACCAATTTGTTTACTAGTACTGTAATAACATTTAAGGAAAACATTACCTATTTGTAATTTTGGCTCTTCAATTCTTACTGAAGTGTTAACCCCTAGGATTGGTGTCAGGACATCATGATCACTGTCAGATCCATCATCACCAGGGATGCTTCTCCCATGATTCACTTGAATAGACATGGCTGTCCTCAATTTTCACATTCTATAGAAATTGTTAAAGTTTAACAGAATCTTTGGCAGACACTGCAGGAAATGTTGGGCATTTGCATATTAATCAAAGCATAAATGGTTAGTAAGATCAGCACCCTTCCTCAGACTTTTCAGTCCAAAAGAATATTTCGTAGGCATTAGAAGAATCTGACTTAAAGTAAGTAAAGTAAAGTAGCGTAAAGGACCCTTTTCCACGTCATAGGGCATATAGGGCTAGACCTATATTTTTATAGACCAGTCGGCACAAGATGGGTGATGTGGTCAGCATCACGCCGGCCGCCTTTACTTTTCTGGGACTGCACCCGGTACCCACTCAAGGCTGGGTCGACCTGGGAGCCAAGGTCATTTTTGAAAAAAGTCTAGCTCCACCAGGGAGCAAACCCACGACCTTCCGATCCGTGACAGGTGTCTAGCCGCTCGGCCACGGCGACTCCCATAAAGTAAAGATCCCTTTTCATGCCTTTAGGCGCATCGGGCATATGGGAAGAGCACCCATATTTTTACAGTCCAATCAATCCCTTTTCCCGCCTTTAGGCACATCTGGCATATGGGAAGAGCACCCATATTTTTACAGACCAATCGGCACTCGGTGGGTAATGTAGTCAGCATTACACCGGCCGTCTTTACTTCCCCAGGACAGCCATCCTGGTACCCATTTGAGGCTGGGTCGACCTGCGACGTCCCATACCATGATAAAAATCCACGCAGCCCGCAGTAGGTTTCGATCGCGTTACGCTGGAGATCCACAAAAAATTATTAACTTAGTAAAGGCAACATATAAAGACTTCAAATGTCAAGTTCTTCATGAGGGAAAGCTAACAGATACTTTTGAAACAAAAAACAGGTGTGCGATAGGGATGTCTTTTGTCGCCTCTACTATTTTTACTGGCAATAGACTGGATTATGAAGACAGCAGTTGCTAACACCAGAAATGGAATTTAGTGGACCCATACAAAACAGATTGATGATCTGGACTTCGCTGATGATATTTCACTTCTGTCCCATTCACGGAATCAGATGCAAGAAAAATTTAATATATTTGATGAGAGAGCACAGCAGTTAGGTCTGACAATCCATAAAGGAAAGATATTGAGAATGAAACATGGAGAACAACCAAGGCAATTACTAATAAATTACAGACATTCATTAACTAATGCCTGCACAGAATAGAGGGAATAAAATGGTATGATAGAATAACTAATGTAGAACTTTGGGAGGGAACTAAACAGGCTCCAGTGGATCAGGAGGTGAGGAAAAGACGCTGGCGTTGGATAGGGCACACACTGAGAAAACAGGAGAGCAGCATAACTAGAATGTCTTTGCATTGGAACCCACAGGGGCACAGGAATAAAGGAAGGCCAAAAAACACATGGAGAAGAGAGCTGGAGAATGAGGTTAGAAAGATTGGGAGGACATGGGGAGCGCTCCATGCAATGGCGAAGGATAGAACGACTTGGCGTGAGTTGGTTGAGGGCCTATGCTCCATTAGGGGACAGTAAGGCAGAAGAAGAAGAAGAATGAGAATGAAACAGACAAATACTAGTGTGGTTTCTCTTAATGGCACCCCACTCCAAGAAGTGTAGTTGTACACTTATTTGGGCAGTGATGTAGATAAAGATGGGGGAACTGATAGGAGATATTAAAATAAGAATACAAAAGGCAAGAGGAGCTTTCAAAGCACTTGGGAATTTGTGGGTTTATTAGAGACTTTGTGGAGGTCAAAAGAAATTAAAAGAAATACTAAAGTTGAAATTTTTAATTCTAATGTCAAATCAGTACTTTTATATCAAGAGGAAACATGGAGAACAACTAAGGCAATTACTAATAATAACTACAGACATTCATTAACTGGTGCCTGTGCAGAGCAGAGAGAATTAAATAGTATGATAGAATCACTTATGTAGAGCTTTGGGAGAGAACTAAGCAGGCTCCAATGGACCTAGAGGTGAAGAAAAGACGCTGGCATTGGACAGGACACACATTGAGAAAAACAGAATAATTTAACTACAGTGTCTCCGCACTGGAACCCACAGGGGCATAAGAATAAAGGAAGGCAAAAAACACATGGAGAAAGGATCTGGAGAATGAAGTTAGAAAGATGGGAAGGTCATGGGGAGAGCTGCAATGCAAAGGATAGAATAGAGCGACTTGGCGTGAGTTGGTTGAGGGCCTATGCTCCACTGGGGGCTAGAAAGGCGGAAGAAGAAGTGTCGTCAGCCGTTATACGCTGCGAGATTTACTGAGGAGGGGATACGTGCACTTATGGACAAAAAATGGTTCGATGTGCAATATCCAATGAGGATGATATGTCGACTGTACTGTCGTTCTTGGAAGAAACAGTAAGAAGGAAGTATGGCACACGAGTGGTATTTTTTATTTAATTAATTATGAGCGATGGTTCAGATTTAAATACATACTCAATAAGAAACAAAAACAAGTATTCAACATTAGTATTCAAACCGTACAAAGCGTAAAATAAATATGGAGATCAGTGTTAAGAAAGAAAGTCTGTGAGTCCTAGGATAACAGCTGGTTATGTTCCTTCCACCATCTTGGCCATGTCACGTGAACGAAGGTAAGAAATATAATACGATATAAGTTTTATTTACCTCTTGACGAGAAGCACCTCTGTGGTATACATGTTTTATTATATTGTAACAAAAAAATTAAGCTTTGTATTTGACTTAGCGATACGTTATTTTTAATGCTACAGGTGTTAATGATTGTAAATATTCATAAATTTGACAATTAATATTATCGATTTTAAGTACTCTTGCCTATTTTTAGGTGTCACATGACCTTACGTCACATTGTATTGGTTCCTGACGCAAACAAGGAAAAGAACATGGCAGCCAAGAAAAGCAACAAGCCAAAGTTTGTGCTAGCGCCTTAAAGCTCTCATATTTGGATTTCCTTTTGTTGCTTGTGCCCCTTCGGGTTCCTCATGTGTTTAAGTAAAAGTGAGTGTTCAGCACTTTAAATGGGATTGAAACTGAGCACGAACAATCAACCGCGTCTGCGTACTTACTCTGCCAGCACTCCGGGGTCCAGTGCTAGTGCAGGGGGCACAGATGTGGTGGTGGCTCGCAATGGAGGACAGTCGGCGAGGGCCCGTGCCAGAAGCTTAGTGAATTTTCAGACTTCGGGGAATTCTGCATCACTGGGGATTCCGGGAGCATCTGGTGGCACACACAGGAGTAGTTCGCCAGACTCGGATTCCAGCTCTCCTGGAGATGATGCGGCTGCAGTCTTGTTTGGACTGAGTGGACGGACGTTCACTCACTCTCTACCTGTCCATCTGTTTGCTTTGCAAGGTATGACATGTTTTTGTCTGTGATAATTAACTCTTTCATAAGCTAACTGCTGTTCACCATTATCAACTTCCTCTTTTGCGTTTGCCTTTTGTGGGAAGAGTTTGAGGTCCAGCACTGGATGGGTAGCACTGCCAGTTGTCATTCCTCTGCAATATGAATATGATATTCAATATATCTGCTCCTTACTTTTGGCCAAAAACGTTTGACTTCAGTATAATAACCCCTAAGAAGGATAAAAACACTGTGACAACTGGAAAGAAGTGTAGAGGCAGACCAAGAGAGAAAAGGCTGGATCATTCAGTCAGTGGATGGGCTGAAACGATGGCATGGAGGGATGTCATCAAGAGAGCTGTTCCAGGCAACCATTGATTGTGATCTGTGGAGATGCATGAGTGCCTATGCCAGTTGGCAGGGCACATGATGGTGATAATAACACCACCCTGATTTAATCGCCTTTTACATCATGCCTGTTGGAAGAGGGGAAGGGGGTAGATTCCCCCCTCCCCCTTTCCTGTCCTTGGAGTCCTTAAACCTACACAGGAACTGAAAGATGGTGTCCCAGCATCCATTGGTTAGGTGCACATTTTACAGTGTTTGTTTTTTTCCCTCTCCCATTATCCTATGCTCTCTCTACCAACCTTCACACAATAGGTGTTTGTTAGAGATTTCTGTAGTAACTATGGAAGGCAGGCATGAGACTGTCTAGTAATGCCACAGCTAAAAAAGAAAAATGTATATAGGTTGTGAACAGTTGCAGCTCTGCCAGGGTCATTCATTATTCTTTCCGTGCTGCTTTTGTCTCTTAGTTGAGCATAAGCCCTGAACCAACTCTGCCAGGGCCATTCATTATTCTTTCCGTGGCTGCTTTTGTCTCTTAGTTGAGCATAAGCCCTGAACCAACTCTGCCAGGGCCATTCATTATTCTTTCTGTGGCTGCTTTTGTCTCTTAGTTGAGCATAAGCCCTGAACCAGCTCTGCCAGGGTCATTCATTATTCTTTCCGTAGCTGCTTTTGTCTCTTAGTTGAGCATAAGCCCTGAACCAGCTCTGCCAGGGTCATTCATTATTCTTTCCGTAGCTGCTTTTGTCTCTTAGTTGAGCATAAGCCCTGAACCAACTCTGCCAGGGTCATTCATTATTTTTTCCGTAGCTGCTTTCGTCTCTTAGTTGAGCATAAGCCCTGAACCAACTCTCATTTTAAACTTGTTGATAGTTGGTTGCATTTTGCAGTTAGCGTTTTCTATGGAATGAGGTGGCCTGTTTTATGCCAGCTCTCCCTAATTTTTGTTCACAGCATTCATGGTAGGTTACAATGAGACTATTACTTGATTTAGCTATTGTCCATCACCTTCGTTTGCTGCTTTTGGTCATATTCTTGGTTTACACTTCTTTTTCACATTCACCGGCTTTAAACTCTGGCAGAAAGTTCTGGTTGTTGATCCACTTTTGGACTCTAGTCCAGTTCCAGAAAATGGGTGTTGCTTGCACATCTGTTTCACAGGTCTGACTCGTTTTTATGCAATCTGTTGGTTCCTTGCCTCTCAAGCAGATACACTTTGACTTGAAGGAAGCCCCCAGTTAGTCGACTCTTACAGCATGCTTTTGGCCCTGTTCTTGTTTTCCCCACACTGGGATCCTGGAACCCACACAGGGATCACTGAAGATAAATCCAAAGTGAATCACATAAATAACTTATAAAATCTACTCCCTGAAAACGCCACTAATAAATGAATCAGAAGTGAAGATGAAACCACTTATTAATTTTACTTGATTTACACCTACAGATCAGATCTTATAAAACATGAAAACAGGGGTGATTGCAGTCAAGCCAATTAATTAATCTGCTTAACTATGATCAGGTCATCAGATCACTCCAATGAGTTTTTGTAAAATTTGTTGATTAAGGCTCTGTCAAAAAATGTCTTATTTTGCTTGCTCTTGCATGTGTGTTGTCACCCCTTTCCACCCCCCACCCCTTTTTTGTTTTTATTTGTTAAGCTTTTTAGTCACAGTTCAGTGGATTAGTGTCTTTTAAATGGGCCTTTTTTTGTGTAGGGCTTCTTTAGTTCCAAAAACGTTGGGTATGGTGTTGACTCGTTGGACCAGGAGTTCCTTCTTAGCTTTTTAAGGACTGATCGCCGATTTTGTGGCTTTTGAATCCGTCATGTTCAGACAGAACGCAGCTTTAATGGCTCTTCAATGACACTCTAATATTATTTAGTTTTTTTTCTAGGAAAATGAATTTCTGTAAACATATTTTGAAAAACTAGAATTAGCTAAACAAAGTGTTTTCGTTTTCAAAGTTTAACAATATGTTTTGATAACTTTTTGAGTTGTTTAGAGTTTAATCAGTGCAGTACATTTCTTGTGTGTGATTTTTCTGAAATGGCAGCTTTCAACCCTTCAACATCCACAGCTGAAAGAATGACAGAAACTCAGGCTTTGGATCTTATGCAGCGGTTGTTAGATTAAGAAGGCAATTCTAGTAGTGATGATTACTTTATGGGTTCCAGGGTTCCATTTTGGGAGAAAAAAAGAATGTATCTTAAAGGAGCATTTTGTAAAAGTTTATAAATTAGAGCTATATCCTTCTGAGTTATTTTGCATCTTCTTAGAGGTGAGGAACCAACAGTCTGCTTACCCAAAATAAAGCAAGATGTGTAAAATGAATATGCAAGCATAACTCAAATTCTGGAACAAGATAAAAGTCCACAAATGGATGAAAGACTAGAAATTTCCGCCAGAGTTTACAACTGGTGAACGTGAAGATGAATAAGAAAAAGATTCACCTATAGTTGATGTTGTTTCACTGTATGCCCCAGGTAGTTCTTCATTGAACACCACTGTGTGTCTTAAACTGTTGGTATAATAGAGCAACATGTTTTTAGTTTATATAATTGAAAAATACAGCTTTGGGACTGAAGAAGTCAAAGTGTAACAAGTGAAACAGAATGAGTTAACAAAAAGAATGGAGCAAAAAAAATGAGTTAAAAATATGTACCTTTTGAAGAGTAACCATGGGCAGGCCAGGAAGACAGTGGAGAGATGATATACAGGCAAACCAACAAACACTTGGTGTCACCAACTGGAAAGATTAGAGGAGGAATGGATTCAGCAGATATCTGTGGCAATGAACCTCAGGGGCTCACAGTGCTGTAGACAAAGATAAAGAGTAATAAACAAACATACTGTGAGTTTGCCAGTACTGAAAGGGTGGTTCTACTCTTCTGCCTTTTGTCTCCCGCTGAAGCATAGACCCTCAACCAGCTTACACCAGATAGTTCTATTTGCTGTGGCAGGTAGCTCACCACATCCTCGTCATCTTTTTATTTACTTTCTTTAGCTGCCTTCTCTCGTGTTTTTGAGTCTGCCTTTATTACCACACCCCTGTGGGTTCCAGTGCAATGACATTCTAGTAATATTGAACTCATATTTTCTCCAACTGTCCCATCCAGCAGCAGTGTCTTTTCTTCACCTCTTTGTTCATTGTTTTTAAATTTTCTTTTTTTTTCTTTTGACTTTTCCGTGGTTGGTTGGTTTTTGTGACTATTGTTTATACAGTATGAATTAGCTAGCCAAGCCCAACCCTACCCTTTGTTGCCTCTTATGACATGACTGCTATGGTGCAGTGTTACTATTCTTTGCTTACCATGAGGGCCCAGGTAATGCACAGGTGACTGAAAGGGTTAAGAAACTAAATACAGTAGCTGTGATCATGCATGGTGTACTTGTCCTAGTTTCTATGGCTGTTTGATCTGCCATGTCATGTTAATGGAACTATCCCAGTCAGTTGTAAGTGGGGAAGGTTTGTGCGCAGTGTGTATGATCCGTCTGTGTTTATCTCAGGTCATGGGTCTGTTATGAAAAACATGTTTTCAACTTCAACTGGGGATTAGGGTTAGCAGTTTTGTGCTTGACCTTATTATATAAGAACTTATTGAAGAAAAAGATAATGAGACGGCTTGTGTGCAGTTTGAACATATAGAAGAGGAAAATAAAGTGACAGCTTGGGTACAGCTAAGAACATATAGAAGAGAAAAATAAAGGGACAGCTTGGGTACAGTAAGAACATATAGAAGAGGAAATAAAGGGACAGATTGGGTACAGCTAAGAACATATAGAAAAGGAAAATAAAGGGACAGATTGGGTACAATAAGAACATATAGAAGAGGAAATAAAGGGACAGATTGGGTACAGCTAAGAACATATAGAAAAGGAAAATAAAGGGACAGCTTGGGTACAGTAAGAACATATAGAAGAGGAAAATAAAGGGACAGATTGGGTACAATAAGAACATATAGAAGAGGAAATAAAGGGACAGATTGGGTACAGCTAAGAACATATAGAAAAGGAAAATAAAGGGACAGCTTGGGTTCAGTAAGAACATATAGAAGAGGAAATAAAGGGACAGATTGGGTACAGCTAAGAACATATAGAAGAGGAAAATAAAGGGACAGCTTGGGTACAGTAAGAACATATTGAAGAGGAAAATAAAGGGACAGATTGGGTACAGCTTAGAACATATAGAAGAGGAAAATAAAGGGGTACATTGGGTGCAGCTGATCTAAGAACATATAGAAGAGGAAAATAAAGGGGTACATTGGGTGCAGCTGATGTAAGAACATATGGAGGAGGAAGATAAAGAGACAGCGTGCATGCTGATCTTGAAACATATAGAGAAGAAAGATAAATGGACGGCTTGGGTGCAGCTGATCTAAGAACATACAGAAGAGGATGATAAAAGGACAACTTGGGTGCAGCTGATCTTGTTGTTCGTTAATCATTAGTGATGAAGACTACTTTCATCCAAAGTAGTAATGATCAGTGATTATGAGTACGAAGGTGGCTGATTGGTCTAAAATGAACCTGGAAAGTTCTTGAATAGTGCGGATAACAGATGGAAGCTGCAGTAAGTGGGGAATTAGTAGTGCAATTCTTTCCGGTCTTCTTTCGTTTCTCTGCCTGTGCAACCTCTGCTGCCTGGCAGGCCGATGCACCATG